AAATTTTAAATATGGTTAGATGCCCCAGTTGGCCATCCAGGTCTCAGTTTTCGCTGGCAATACTGGTTAAGTTAATCTGGCTCTGAATAATGGGTGCCACGAAGAATCCTGAGCCAAATCTTGCATGCAATTCAACTAAAAGAAATGATGCCCATCTGAAAATCCTTCTAGACATCAGCGAAGATTGTATGGAGTCATGAATCAACCATCGTTTATGAATTACACGAACAACCATGATCAACAATACAATTGCGCTAATCACACTTGAAACAATAAGTGGACCTTGTGAAAGGTATAAACTTAAATCATCAATTTGTTGATCGCATGACGAGCCACTTGGGAAGGAAAGGATACGCTCTTCCAGTTGATTTATCTCTCCTGTTTGTTTCATATTTAGAACTGCTCTCGATATATCAGCAGTAAAATTAGAACCCTTTGGGAATACCTATAAGAAAACCAAAACATCGCATGTTAAAATAAAGGGTAAAATAAATATTTCCAAGGAGTAGAGGTGTCAAAATTTGTAACTAAGGCATGTGGCATGAGCCGTGCTGTGGGTGCTGAGTGGCGGCCTGTTGTAGAGTAAGACCTTATTGGGCCAAACTGTAGAGGCTCGCAACCCCCGCATAGGCCATAAAACTTGTATAATTAACGTGAAAGTGAAAGCTAATAGTTGTGGTATGTAAAACTGTTGGGATATAGGCACGGTCATCTCAAAATTACTGTTTTGGCCTTAAGCGGCCTGGTTTACACCTCCACCTTGAGTGCATATTAATTTAACTTGGATATGAATCTTACAAAAGCAAAACCACCAAGTGCAAGGTTAATATTTGCAATGGCAAAGCTTTTGCAATTATTTGCAAGGAAAAGTTTGGCATGTGGACCGACAAAGAAGGCAGCCGCAATCTTCCCCTGTTCGAAATATTCCTTGTAGTCACTGATGGAACCAATTCTCTCGATGTTCTCTTCCTTGAATTTCAAAGTATGCATCAAATATCTTGGGATGAAACCCACCCCATTGCATCCAACCGTTGCATTAGTTTTCTGAAGATAATGAACATCTCCTATTGATGGTTGGAGCCTCGGCACTGTCACCATAGAACTTAGAACGACAGTATAAGATACTGTCACAATCAAAATCACGAACAACCATATTGCAAGAACCAATC